CCTTGGCACCTATGACAGTGCCGGGCTCCAAGTAGGTGCTCAATAAGTGTCTGAAAGTGAACAAATGGCACGTGATGCTCTGCAAGCGCTGCCTGTTTGAGGTCCAGTTTCCTTGGCGGGGAGGAGGGGCAGGACAGGCTGCAGGGCTGTGGCTGCTCATGGGGGCTTTGCAGAGAGAAAGTGTGGGAGACCTCGAGCTCCCCCTGCCTCCACTGTAGGCAGCTGTAAAGCGCCTGGCCATGATTCTGAAGAATGCCGTATCTTTGCCCAGTGCCACTTCCAGGCTGGAGGCTGGGTGTGGTGGAGACTAGTGCCCACGCCTGAGGACCCTGGAGTAGGCCTTGCCTGAGATCCCGCTCAGCCCAGCATTGGTTGGTATCCTTCAGCTGTCAGAAGGTGCACAAGGGAGAGAGCCCTCTGAACTGGGTTGTTGGAACTCGATATTTAATCAGATTTGGTGATTACCACAACCTGACATTGACCTGAGCAGTTCTCTTCTTTTCCTGAGAGAAGTGATCCAGGCGATTTCCCCCACATGAAGGCGGTTACCAGGGTTTCCAGGTCCCTACAGGTGTGGGGTGCAGAAGCAGGGTGCTGTCGCCTCCTGCAGTGATCTGACCCTCACTCAGTGGCATCTCCCTGGGCCTTCCTTCTGTGATGTTTTCCACGGACTCCTTTAAGACAGGTAAGTCTGGGCCATTCTTCAGGTGAAGAAAACCCAGTGTCTGCAATGTTAAGTAACTTCCTGTGACATTGCGCTTTTAGAATATGACGGGGACGATTCGTGCCCTGGTGAAGGGCAACCTGGCCAGCGGCCTGTGTCTGTCTGCGCTGCTGCTGAGGTGACGTGACCTACACACAGCCGGAGGGACTGGCGGGTGCCACATAATCGATAGAAAGGCACAAATGTCAACTTGTAATCAAGATTCACACCATGAAATGCCAAAAATATCGTATCTTTAAAATGACTCATGTCAGCTACGTTTTTTGTATCGCATGACAATCGGAGAAAAAGGAATAAAATCGAAAATAACTAAAATCAAGAACTAGCCCAAGTGGTTTTCATGGAGGAAACATGTGAACAGTGTTTAACGACAGTGAACGGAAGCCCCGTGCCCCAGGACCTGATGAGCCTGTCTCTGGGACTGGTCGTCAGCTGACGAGAGCCACCCTGGCCGTCCCTTCTCCAGTCAGCCCACGTCCAGGGACTGGCAGATGGCGGGGAGTAGAGGGCTCACCTCCGGCTCCGCTTTGAGCAGCTCTGAAGGGTCACAGGTCCAGGGCACGGGAGGAAAGCTGAATGAGTGTCCCCTCCTGTAGGTCAGGGACCGCTGACCTGCCCCAGCTGTGCTCTGTGGCCTTGGAGGGTGCTCTGGGTCTCATGGCTTCCTGTTCCCTGTCAGGGGCTCAGATGAGGTTGGCTTAGGCAGCCCACGTTCTCTCTGAATAAAAGATCGTTATTTTAGGTCGTCGCTCATTGGATGTCTCCTTATATGGCAAGCCTGCCTGTTTTTAACGCCATTAAGTATACACTCCGTTAGAAATTAATTGGGAGGGACAATTAAGCTCCTTCTGGAAGAAAGAGCACAGGGAAGCAGAGCGGGAGTCCTGTTGCCTAGCGCTAATTCCGCACCTTCAGCAGCCTCCCCTGAATGAAAACTTCGCTGGAGCAGATCTGGCACCGCAGGTGTGGTACAGAGGTCTAGAACCTTCCTTGCAGTGTGCAACCTCCATGTGAACTTTCCTTCTGCTCAAACTTAGGGGCTCTCATGCTTGAATGGGACCCGGGTTTTGGACGTCACCCCTTTGGCTCAGGGTAGGTGTAGACTGGAGGATGCCGACTTTGTGCAGTTCATCGGGTTAAGGTGGAGAAGTCACTGGAAAGACCGCACTCTGCCAGCGATCAGGCCCTTCCCTCTCTGTTCCTGGGGCTCAGCGCCTCCTGGGAGCCTGCTGGCAGCCATCCCGGGCCCTGTGCTCCTATCTCCGACAGCAGGTGACAACCCAGGTTCTGGCGCCGTCCCCCATCCCACTGCAACTCAGAGCTTCTTGGAAGACACTGTCCGGCTCCCTCTCTTCCAGAACAGAGGAGGCTGTGTGCTGGCCGCTGTGAGCTCAGCCAAGTGGAGGTCACTCCGTTTCCTGTCTCCTCCTGTGAGTGGGCCCAGGCCAGGGGTGTCCACCCCTATCTTCTCACTTTCCACTTGAGTAGAAGCTATCATCTTCTGTTTACAGGTTAGTTCCCCCAAATGCAGAGCTACTCACTTCTCCAAGGTCATTTAGCAGCATCCATTTAGCTAGCTCCACGGTCTGCTCCTCGCACCCCCTCCCTCTGCCCTGCTCACTTACGGGGGTGACTGGTTGCCATTGGGTTTGTTCCCTTGGTGACGGCTGTGGGTGGGAGGCTTCTGACAGCTGCAAGCCCGGCCAGAAGAGTGGCACGTTGGGCCCACAGTCACATCCCTCATGGGATCTGCACAGCCCAGACATTTAGGCAAAGGAACATGTATCATACATGTCTGTATGTGTTTTGCAGTACAGGGGATAGAGCCCAGGGTACTCTTCCACTGAGCTACATCCATTTGAGCCAGTTTAAAGTCTGGCCTCGAACGTGTGATCCTCCCACCTTAGCCTCCAGAGTAACAGGTAATGTATTTTTAACAACCAAGATTTAGCAGTGATTTTGAGTTTACAGAACCTTTTTTTATAAAACATTTTCATTAGTTCATTTTAGTCATACATAATATTGGAGTGCGTTTTGACATAATTATACAAGCATGGAATAAAATTTGTTCCAATTCAATTCCCAGTACTTCCCTTTTCCCTCTCCTCCTCCCTCCCCTGGTCCTTTACCCTGTTTTACTGATTTTCTACTTTTTATTTTTCTTTTTAAATCAGAGCTTTGTGGATGTGCATAAAGGTGAAATTCACTGTGGCACATTCACATGTGTACACAGGAAAGTCTGGTCAGATTCACCCGAGCGGTCCTCCCTCACCCCGTCGTCCTCCACTCCCCCATCAAGCCCCTTCTCTGCAACACTGCCCTCTCTTCCAGCCACAGAAGCCTTCTTACACAGTGCCATCTCATCCTTACAGCAGGTCTGTAGAGTATCCCCCCAGGTTTACAAATGGCGGGATGGAATGGAATGGAGTGGAATGGAATGGAATGGAAGGGAATGGAATGGAATGGAATGGAATGGAAGGGAAGGGAAGGGAATGGAATGGAAGGGAATGGAATGGAAGGGAATGGAATGGAATGGAAGGGAATGGAGGTGGAGAGGTCTAACAGTTGGTCTGATGTCACCCCACCCAGTAAGTGGCCAACCAGGACCCTCCTGGCTCTTCTGACTCCAGGTCCACTGCTCTGGCACCAGCTCTGCTGATTCTGAGTGATCTTCAGTGGTCCATAGGAGAAAGGGGAGGGGGGAAGAGAGAGAAAGGGAGAGAGAAAGAAAGAAAAAAGAGAGAGAGAGAGAGAAAGAAGGAAGCCCCAGGTTCCACCAGCTCCAGTGTCTGACCTGCTCCCAGGTCCAAGCCAGCACCGTAACCTGGGTCAAGGTATGACGATGACGCTACTGGGCAGGGAAGCACTGATTCACTACTCAGACATTTGGATGCTTGGCCTGGATCATTTTTCCTGATTAAAATTTCAAGCATTCAATGTCACTCCACAAATCTTGAAAGGTTTTCAGATATTTGGTACCAACAGAGTGTGGGAGAATGAGGAAGGGGTGGAGAGGCGCGTGCACTGGACTTCAACTTCAGTTCACTGAATGCTGGCCACGTGTTCGTTCAGCTCTTCTTCCCTGCGTTCAACACTCTCTGAGCACCTTCCAGCACTGTGGCAGGCGTCATAGACAATGCCAACAAATGGGCAGCCCCTGTCCCTCATGGGGTTTATAGATGTGCAGAGATTTTGCTATGTAAAGCCCTGGGTAAACTAATGATTTCAGACTGTTGCAACGCTGTAAAGAAATTAGCCGAGCTAATAGGACATGGGCTGTTTGGAAGGTCGGGAAGCAAAGGGGTGTTTCCGCTGGGTGCATCTGAAAGGCTTCCCAAGAAGAAGGAGGCACTGGTAGAGGTGAGAGGAGCCACTGGCCCCAAAAGGTCACTTGAAGCAGAGTGACGTACAAGGGCTCAGAGTTGAGTCACCAAAGTCTTGGGGGACTTCCGAGGACAGAAACATGGACAGTGCAAGCAGAGCTCAGTTAGCAGAAGGGAGAGCAGCAGGAGTGGGTGGGTGGACAGCAGGGCCAGGTGACAGGCTCTATGGGGCCAAGAGCTTGGTCTAGCCTAACGGAAAGCCATCGTAGGATCTTAAGCAATGCAATTCAATTTTTATTTCAAAAGGGTTACAGTGAAAAAAAGAGACTCCAGAGAGCATCAATACTGAAGATGAGGGACCAGAGGACTTGGACTAGGGCCCAGGTTGGCAAATAATGGCCAGGGACCAAAGGGGGCTTTTTACAGAAAGGCTTGCCGGTGCTTGGACTAGGAGACTGTAAAAGTGATCGGGTCAAGAAACTGCTTCCACTGTGGAGGTGACAGGTCACTGATGGTGGGCCGTGGAGGGGAGGGTGCAGGGTGACTTGGGTCTGGGTCTGAGCAAATGGTGAAAGCCACCCAGCCCCTGGGTGAGGACCACGGGCAGGAGAGCAGCTCCCAGGCAGAAAAGCTAGGGATGCCACTCCAAGCCTGTGCAAGCCAGGCCCTCAGGAAGCCTCCCAGGTTAAGCCACTTTTGTGCACGAATGTGGTCATATGATGAGCAGAGTCACCCTGCCATGGACGCCCTCACTCCTGGAGAGAGGAGCCTGCTCTCAGCCCTGGCCCAGTGAGACACCCCGCCAGCCCCTCGCAGGTCCTCAGCGGGCACTGCCACCTCACCCCACTCACTCAGCCCCGCACCCCCCACTTGGCTAGGAGGGCTGCTGGAAATGAGCGGCTTCCTGGTCTCCTGGGCTGCACAGTCTCTGCCGACCCTGGTCTCACCTGACAATGCCTCACTGGGTCTCAGGTGAGCTCCCTTGGGACAAAGGACAAACTGACTGCTGCTCTAACAACTTCTCCAGCAAACAGCACCCTTCCTGGACACCCAGGCCTCCCCTCCCCCAGAATGCCCTGTCCTCACCTCCAGGAGGGCTGGTGGCCCCTCAGCAAGGACGCTCCAAGTCCCCGCCCCTCTGCTCAGCCACGGCCACTCCTCCTCGTCTCTGCTCCCCTGCACCCTGGGCGGGAGGACACGGTCCTCCTACCAAGCCCACTGGAGTCTACTGCTCCTGATTCCCTGGGGACCTTGCTCCATCCATGATAATCGGAACAGAAAACACTGTGACTGTCAATCAGAACATGAAGAAAGGACCTCTCCACACGTCCCTTTATCTCTTTTCCCCTCTCCCCTTTTTAGCCAAGCCACGGGAAACGGTGTTTCTGCACTGACATCACCGGGCTGTCCTGATCTCTGGCACAATCAGCCGCTGGCTGCTGAGAGCTCAGAGTCCTGCTCCAGGGACAGCTGATCACAGGCATCGTCTTCTTCCAACCCTGGCCGCCCAGCGGAGTCACAGTGCTCCCCACACTCTAGGAGGAAACTGAGAAAGCTGACTTTGCCCTTGTGGCTCCTCGTACGTGGAGTGCCAGGACCAGACCAGGAACACCTCCAGGTCCCCACAGCCAGCAGCCAGAGGCCTGCCCGAGCTTGGTGGCTTGGCTCAGGAACATGGAAGCTCTGGAATAGGAGCCCACGTTTCCATTTGGCTTTCAGCTCTAGGAGACTGGGCTGGCCTGTTTTTACTGTGCCATTACTGCATTTCCCTGTACTGCCGAGAGAAGGGAGTGGGGAACTTTTAAGAAAACAAGGCCTCCTGGGTGGTGATTGTTCACATCCGGGAGTTGCTGCTTCTCGCTGACCCTCCTCCCTCCCAGCAGAGCACATGTACTGTTGACGTCAGCCCAGCTGACACCCACGGCAGCCGAGCTCTGCGAGGACTCACAGACACACACACGTTGACGGGATTCAGAACGCAGCTCACAAACCTCGACAAAGCAGAGAACCCTGCAGTATGCAGCCGTCCCTCGCCGAGGTCACCCGCCCGGCCACCTTCTGCCCACCTGCCTGACGGATGCAGTCGGGGCGTGGAGGAGGGCTTCTGTCCTGGAGTCTGGGTCCTGCTTATGCTAATTACCTGGATGCAGAATCCCAGATATTAGGGCCGGGAAAACCCCTAAGGGCTTCAACTTGACTGTTTTAGAGGTCGAAAGGTCAAGTTCAATGTCAGGTAAACTGCCAAATCTGACATCCGATTGACTGGGTCCCGTGTAAAGGGAGGTAGAGACGGGGGAGCTCGGACACTCCAGCAGGTCTGTCTCTGATCTGTCCACGTCACTCCTGAGCCAACCCGATGATTTCCTACTTCCACAGTTGCTCCTGGGCCAAGTAGGCTTGATTGCACTCAGAGGCTGCTCTTGGATCCTGAGCTTTTCAGTGGAATGCATCCCCTTCACCCTGGGCTGGAAGAGCAAGGCACAACAGGGTCCCTGGCTGGGCAGCGAAGACCCCAGGAACTCACCTTGATGCAGTGTGCTGGGGGGGCTGCAGCAGCCCGCCAAGCCCCCAGCCACATCGACCACCTCAACTAATTAGGTCCTGGCTAATTGATCTCTATAGATTCTGCCTGCCAAGCTCCAGGATCTTTCTTTGTGCTGATCCACCGAAAACTTGGAGCAGAGAAAAGAAGACCTGAAAGGCTGGCTCCTCATGCAGCCTCCCAGGCGCTGCGTGCTGCTGCGAGCTGACTCATGTTCCTGGCAGAGAGGAGGATGCCGGCTCCGTGCCCTAGAAACCCTGCCGCCCCTGGGAAACCGGGGTCCTGAGAGCAGCCGGTGTCTGCCAGGGGCCTGGGAAGCGCTGGAATGAGATTTCCTACGGGGCTCACCTTCTCTTCCCTCACATCCCATCTTCTCCTCTAGCCCCTGGGGACCTAATAAAAACCCCGACAGTCTACCTGCCAGAGTGGAAAGGGCAGGTGACGGCCCTTTAGTTCCCCCTCTCCTCCTCGTCAGTCCTGAGCGAAGTCCCCTACCTGCTTGGGCTTTGTGTCATTTTCCCATGGCCGCTGTGGTGACTACCACACAAGCACCAGCTCAGACATGGTGTGTCCTCACCACCCCGAGGTCAGAGTCTGAAGTCGGCATCGTGGAGCCGAGATGAGGCGGCAGAACTGTGCTCCCCCCGGGGCTCGGGGCCGGGCTGGGGCTCTGTCTCCTCTAACTCCTGGTGACTGGGCATTCCTTGGCTTGTGGCTGCATCACTGGGTCTTCAAGGTCAGCATCTTCCAACCTCTATCTTCTCATCAGCTGCTCTTCTGCACACCTGTGGCAATCTCCTCTGCCTGTCTCTTACGGACATGTGCGATCAGGTTCTCCAGGATCATTCAGCATAATCCTCATCTGGAGATTTTTAATTTGATCTCACTGCAAAGACACCCCCCACCACCACTACCCAACAAAGGTGGTGGATTTCTGGGATTAAGGTGTAGCATGGGGGGGGCACTTTTCAACCTACTGCTGGCTTCTAATGGCTCATTCATTAACACGTCAGCCCTTTGCACTATACTATTTTGCATGCTAAGATACATATCAATTGCAGAATAGTCCACATTTAAACATGTTCTGAAGTAAAGCTAACATTATAATGTTGGGCTTAACCTAGGTAATTCTTTTGTACTCTCAATTTTAGTTACTCGGGCTACCTGTCTCATTTGAAAGAGTCCATATTAAGTCTCCGGGGCTTGAAATCTTGGAGGAGGAGGAACTTACAGAAGACCACCTACCTACTCTACCTCTTTGAGAATGAATCTTGTTCTGGAGACTGAACGAAAAGTGACTGCATTTTAATATTGATACTGTCCTGCTTGGTTCCAACCTTTTTGGGATGTTGGATGCTGGTTATAAGGAAGAGCAAATGTACGTAAGGGTAGCTCCAGGGAGGGCTACTGTGTTTGGGGGAAGATGAGTGAGACATTGCCCAAGGCACAGAATTTAAGACAAAGGCACAGAATTTAAGACAACACACATGCACAGCTCTGTAATTAATGGAGATAATATTTCACTGTTATAATTTTAAAACTCAAAAATGCATGCAAAAACCCATGATGAAAAACATCACAAGTTTAAATAACAATAAAAAGAGCAATCACCAGTTGAAAATGGAGAGACTGGAATTAGTGGTTCTATTTTTAGATTTCAAGCTGAATTTTGCAGTTACCTGGATTCTCTACTCCAAACTGAAAGTTCGGCCAGCAGGAGGACTTTGATAAAGGGCAGGCCCCTGAGAGGCAACGACACCCGGTGGACATGATTCATTCTGCTTAACGAATGTTTATGAAGCAGTTGCATTATGGGTGCTGGGAGTACAGTCATGACAAGGTTGCAGTGTAGGTCTCCGCTCTGTGGAGGGCAGAGTCTAAAGGCTCGAGGATAATTATGGGACTTGGCAAGTGAACAGTCATGGAGAGGAGCAAGATGTGCCTTGGGTGACTCCCACCCCTTGCCACACCTGTGACATCACGTGGTCCCTCAGAGCTCCTGCTGGAAGGAGCCTTCTGTGATCCAGCCAGGCCCAGATGCTTATCCCGAATCCCCAAACCCCACGTGTTATGGTTTATATATTAGGTGTCCCCCAAAGGCTCATGTGGGGTGAAATGATTGGTTAGGAGACCTGAACTCCACCAGTGCATTCATCCCCCGATGGGATTGATGGGATTACCTGGGTGGTGACTGAAGGCAGGTGAGGTGTGGGTGGAGGAGGTGGGGCTTTGGGGTGTGCCCTTGGGGGGTATATATTTTGTCGAGGCGAGCTCTGTCTGCTTCTTGGTGTGATGTCTTAATCCACTTTCCTCCATCACACTCTTCCACCATGATGTTCTGCTCATCTCCAGCCCTGAGGAATGGAGTCAGCCATCTGTGGACTGAGACCTCTGAAACCGTGAGACCCCCAAAACTTTTCCTCCTGAAATTTGCTCTCGTTGGGTCAGCAGGAGGACTTTGACAAAGGGAAGGCCCTGTTGGATCTTGTGGTCACAGCAATAAAAACGCTTACTAGAACTCATCTCACTTCAATTGTGTTGGTCATACTCCATCTACCTCTTGGTTGTTTCTTGGGGTTTTCTTAGCAGGTCTCAAAACCAGGATGAGAGTAGCAGAGGCTGGACTCCACTCAGCGAGGGCAGATCTACACCCAGTTTTATACCCTGAGCTTGATACCAGGTGAAGGCCATCTGTGACCTGCCCCATTTGGTGATAACTGGTCTTGGTCTGTTAGTTTTGATCTTCGCTGCAGTCACAGATTCCTGCTGTGCTGTGCAGATGCCTCACTGTCCCCCACTGCACTCCTGCCCAATGTCCAGGAGGTCCACAATGGGGTGCAGCCGTCCACTGGGCAACAGACGCACAGTGAGGTGTGGGGACTCATGCTTTTTCACTGGGTTGTCGATTTCTTGACAGTTTCGGATTTGCCTTTATATGTGTCTCAATGCCAGAATACAGCAGGCCCTCATCTGAAATCTTGGATCTTCAAGAGTATCCGTGAGGAAGGCTGGTTATGTTGCAGCTATAAAAATAACAAAACGAATCTGAATACTTAAATATATGTTCACGTTGTGTGACAGCTGTCACAATCAAACCCACTATCCCACCCATCGCCACCCATGCTGTCCATCAGACCCCGGAACTTGCTGGCCTGTAACTGGAAGTTTGGACCTTTGATCAGCATCTCCCTGTTCCCCACCTCCACCCTAACAAGCACCATTCCACTCTTGGCTCTGCGAGTCTGACTTCTTTAGATTTTTCATAGAAGTGAGATCACGCAGTACTTGTCTTTCTGGGTCTGGCTTATTTCACCAGCATAAGAACAAAACAAATGCTAGTGGCTTATCTCAGCAAGATTCATGTGTCTGTCAGGTGCAGGGAGCTGTTTCTCTTCTCCTCATCCTGGGATCCAGGCCAGCGGAGCAGCCCCCACCTCAAATGCTGGGGATCACAACAATGGAAGAAAAAGAGGGTCCTAGTGACCCACACTTAAGTGACAATGTCTTTTGTGTTCCCAATTTTTGGACTGTGCTAGTTATATGTCCCATTTCAACTCTAAGGGACCCAAGAGATGGAATTCTTCCATTGCTTGGAAACGAGTCCAAGGAACACTTGGTGGACAGTAGTGAGGAGCATCACGGTGACCCTTGGTGGACGGTAGTGAGGAGCATCACGGTGACCCTTGGTGGACAGTAGTGAGGAGCATCATGGTGACCTTGGTGGATGGTTGTGAGGACCATCATGGTGACCCTTGTTGGACAGTAGTGAGGAGCATCATGGTGACCTTGGTGGACGGTAGTGAGGACCATCACGGTGACCTTGGTGGATGGTTGTGAGGACCATCACGGTGACCCTTGGTGGACGGTAGTGAGGACCATCATGGTGACCCTTGTTGGACAGTAGTGAGGAGCATCATGGTGACCCTTGGTGGACGGTAGTGAGGACCATCATGGTGACCTTGGTGGATGGTTGTGAGGACCATCATGGTGACCCTTGGTGGACAGTAGTGAGGAGCATCATGGTGACCTTGGTGGACAGTAGTGAGGAGCATCATGGTGACCTTGGTGGACGGTAGTGAGGACCATCATGGTGACCCTTGTTGGACAGTAGTGAGGAGCATCACGGTGACCCTTGGTGGACAGTAGTGAGGACCATCACGGTGACCTTGGTGGACGGTTGTGAGGACCATCATGGTGACCCTTGGTGGACGGTAGTGAGGAGCATCATGGTGACCTTGGTGGAC